TTTCATTAAAGTCACCTACCAATACAATAATTTTGTCACTCATGAAAACGGTTTCTTGAGAAAAAAAAAACCCTTTCAAATTGATTTCAACACTACCAATACTTATATCACAGCCCTTTTTCTCATGTTTTGGGTTGTCTCCTTTAGCACTAATTCAATTGGTTGATAAAGCTCGTTATAAGTCGAATTTTTGTTGCTTTTATGTTTTTCTTTTTTCTAAAGATTTATCCTCGTCCGTCTTTGGTTTCAAAATTGACCTCTGGTGTTGCTCTTATTTTTCCTAACATCATTTTCAGCTAAACTTAAAATGAAAAACAAATAAAGTAATGCATCTAACGTTTGATAGATCATGCGGCAATACAAGGGGCGTGTTTTATTGGTCTCTTCTGTACATCTCCAGAATGTCTTCTGGTGAAAAGTCCCAAAAAATGAATATGGACCTCTTCTGAAGATATTCTGTTTATAAGAAAATAACAGAGTTCTCAAAATCTTTTTCCCCTGGTGGTCCTTGAAGAAAATCTACTGGTCCTAACTATTATTTAAATTGCAAAATTTTGATGTTCAATACTTTCGGACCACCACTTTTCGAAAACCTTAATTGTATATGCATGTGTACAAGGTATACAAGGTCATTGCGTTTCTCAGACTGTTTATGACTAAATCCGTTGGTTGTGTACTAATTGATACTTTAGTCTGAAAGAACAAGATTTATTTCAGTGATAGTATTGAACTAACTTTCAGTAACTGCAACTACTCTTATTTCTGTGCTTTGTGTCTATTGTCTTAATGGTATTTTTTTGTGTGTGTGTCTCGAACCGATCTTTTGAGTTAATCTAATTGCAACTTCATTTTACAGTTTGTTCTTATGTTATACGGTTACACCACACGTTTAGGGACGGTTGAGTGCTCACAAACATGTTTAGCCCTGCCGTATTCCTTAAGTGCCTGTCTCAAGGCAAGAGCCTGAAGTATAGTAGTTGTCGTTGGTTCATGACTGTCGACTCATATTTGATTTTTATGCCCCACCTAGGGGCGTTATGTTTTTCGGTCTGTGCGTTCGTTCGTTCGTCCGTCCTTCCGTCCGTTCGTCCGTCTGTTCCGCTTCAGGTTAAAGTTTTTGGTTAATGTAGTGTTTGATGAAGTTGAAGTCCAATCAATTTGAAACTTAGTACACATATTCCCTATGATATGATCTTTCTAATTTTAATGCCAAACTAGAGTTTTGACCCCAAATTGCACGGTCCACTGAGCATAGCAAATGATAGTGCGAGTGGGGTATCCGTGTACTCTGGACACATTATTGTTTGTAAATTATTTTGTAATATATAATTAAGCCGTTAGCTTTTTTTCGTTTGTTTCACATTTTTCATGTCGGGTACCTGTCTTTTATAGCGGGCTATACGGTATAGGTTTTGTCATTGTTGAAGGCCGTACGGTCGCCTCCTTCATTTGAACTCTGGTGGATAGTTGCCTCATTGACAATCATACCACATCTCTTTATTTTCATATTACATAACTGACCTTAAACTTGTGTTTTCTTGAACATGCATGAAATATTTGTCACTGGAAGTTAAAAATAAGTAACCAACAATCAATCAATTTAAACTTGTGTTAAATAACGGGAAAACCATTTGATATTTATTTTTATTTTTATGATGTCTTAGGGGACAGGAGGATTTTAAATATGAATATGGTGGCCTCATAAGAGCTTAAGGGTATGATTATCGCCAGGTTAAAATGAATAATAAATCCGCAAAACATCCTCCTGCCCCTCCCCCTCCCAAGAATATAAAAAAATCGTCCCCCTACTGTAACTGTCCGTGTAGTTCTTATATTAACTCAGCTTGTCGTCCCTACTGGGATTTCCTAATAAGGCTGCCATACCATAAAACCGTTGATCACACAGCTCACATTCGATTAAATCTGCATTCATAAATTTATTAATGCTATTTAGAATTAGCAAAGCCATGTTTGTTATGTGCCCATGCCGTCTAAACTACCTATTTAAAAGAAAGAGATAGAAGAGAGCCAGAAGATCTTCCCAATGCAAAAAAAAAAAAAAAAACAGAAATGGACCTCTTCTGGCTCACTACCGAAGAACAAAAAAAAAAAAAACACGACCAAGGACCATAAACAACCTAAACCTCTCCCTGTGTACAAAGTGGAAATCTAGAACTTGCTTCATGAACTAGGGGACTTCAATAGTTTTTATAATTTTCAATTCGGCGTTGATTTACAAGTTGTTGTTTTTTAAGTCTGATATCATTGCTTGAATATGAATATAATGCAACAGTTCACTTATGAACGACAATGAATATGGGAAGCAGAATAAAGGAAGACGCTACCGCAGGTTATCTGTTAAACAAATCAATCGTGCGTCCGATTTGCACTATGTTCGTAGTGTTTTATGTTATAAAAGAAAATAAGAGAGTTTTTTTTGCAAAAAGAAATCGAGTGACAAAATTATGATTCGGTAACATTAAAAAAAAAACACACACAAGAGACATCAATACACAAATAAACGAAAAAAGAGCGACACGACCTTGTAGAAAAAAGGGGGGATATTCAGCTGGTACCGTTTTTGTAAACAATAACAGTCTCTTGAAAATTCCGATGAACAACAAAAGAATTTGAAATGATTGCACGTTGTTATTTCTTCATTTGTTCATATCAATTATATATTTGAAATAAAATCGACTGCGTTGCACTCTATATGCTTCAATGTGAACCTGTCTTCACATGTTTTTCTTTTTTTCAGCTAATTCACCCAATAAGAAAACAATTTGAAATATAATAAATGTTAAACTTGCCATTATTAGCTGCTAAAACTATATCCTCTTTGTAATCCACATTGAAATCGAATATATCTAAATACAAATTTGATTTTCATCCAAAGTTTGAAACAACACAATCACTGATAACGACACCACTTTCTTCGTTTTTTGCATTAAGAATATTCTTTCGTCGGGTTTATCCATTTTGAAACACAAAACGCATGTAAAGGTATTCAAAGAAATTATTTAGAGTAGTCCTTGCGCACGCAACAATCATGATACGCATACGCTGTGTCTTTATCTTCATGTAGCAATACATGTTGTTTACCTTCAGCTGTACTTTCTTTTTGTCTATTGTTTAAGTTAAGCTTCTGTTTAAAGGGGCCAACATGTAGGATAAATTTTAATGTAAAGAAAGTTTATTCACAAAACAATTTTCACACTTGATTAAAATAAATCTTACTAAAAGTTTGTATTTGCTTGCATTTTTTCACCTTTTTGACGTGTTAAACAATGTTGTAAGTAAGATATAAGCCTCTAACAGTCCATTCTGTAAAATATTGAACAGGTCTTCGGCCTGCGGCCTCAGACCTGTCCAATATTTTACAGAATGGACTGTTATCGGCTGATATCCTTTTACACAATGGAGATTCCATGCAAACAAATGAGGCTTTGAGTCATTGTCTTCATTTTTCTCTTAGATGTTTTATTTTTATATCGAAATATCCTTTTAGCTACATGTGTCAATTGTGGAAGTCATACAACGATCTTGAAATATCTTTATATACTTAAGTATTACAAGAACTTTGCTGATGATTTTTCAAATACAGACCATATAATAGCTATCCCTATCCAAAATTAAATTGGTCTTCAGCTGTTATAACTACAATTATATATTTTATGTATTTTTACGTTCTCAATAACGTACGAATAGTTGCTTAATTGTTTGAAAATCGTATAGTGAAACATTGCTACTAAACAAAATTTATTGACATACACTTCTTGTAGCCCATGTTTTATCAATATCATGTTTGTAAACTCATGATTTAACTTTTACTTTCACCATTATCAAAACGAGTTTTTGAGAAATTCCCTCAGGTATGCACACATTTGATATATGTGCCAAAATAGTTGACACAGATAATATGAACACATGTTTGACGCACACATAATGCTTCAGATCCATGAAAATTTGCTGGAATGTTAAAAATAATTTGACTGTACCCTTCTCTTATTTAATTACTCTCAAAAATGGAATGAAATTTTCTATTAAATTATTAATTAGTAGCAAAGAAGTAACAATATACCAAAAGCTGTGGCGGGAGGGGGGGGGGGGGTGCAAAAAAGACAGACCACACATTAATCAAAAGTAAATGACATAAAGAAAAACAACAGTCCCTCAAAATACTATACAGGAAACAGAAGCAAAACAAACTCAACTAAGAACAAGGTGTAAACTAATCGGTTTGGAGGAGAAAGCAGTTCCAGTTCTACCTGTCGTGATGCTAATAACAAATAATAAATTCGATAATTAGTGATTTCATAAACGAGGAATCGAGGACGGGATTATGTCAGCAGTTGACTGTTTCAAAGGGTACAATATCAGTTTAAGATGTGATTCTAACGATGATCTTTACTAGTAGAAATTCATGTCTTGGATATTGCATAATTAAAACTGATTTGCGATACATTTTAGAATGTCACTTCGACGCAAAAACACGATAAATAAAATTATGGTACAAATTATTTGGGAAGGATGACCGTATCTACTGACAATGTATGGATAATTTTTATGTTATAGATTAAAATAATTCAGGACACTGACATTGAATGAACACAAATAAGGACAAATTGTATGCATTCAATTTTAAAATATAAATACATTTCATAAATTGAAGAAGAAGAAGTAACATAATTTTTATTTCTTGTGGATCCCAATACTAAACAGTTATACGAGCTTAAAACATTTGATAAATAATCTTTTTATTCTCGTATCAATTGAATTGTCTTATCTTGATGATTTTGCACTAATCATAATTTATATTGCAGTTGTAAACATTATTGCATAAATAAACATTACCCATATATCATTATAAATCACAGATAATACAACTTATCTATTGATAATCAATGCATAAAACATGATTTTGTATTTGATGTTTTGACTTTGACATGTTTAATCAATTCGAAAGCTATTTTAGTATATGAGGAGCCTCCAAAATCTATTTTAGGCTCATGATCGAATTCATCTGGAAGTTTTCAGAGTTTTGCTTTTAATAAAGCACTGCGCACATTATCCTTTATTGCAGCGGTGTATTCGGTGAGAGAACAAACAACAGGTAAGTGTTCCAAATTTTTAATATTTTTTACGGTCTGAGCTAATGTTTTATAGACTTAGTATTTTTTAATGTTCCAAGCAATTTTGAAAACAAGTACTTTGTACGAGTATATAAAGAGAAAAAAAAACCACATTTTCAGGCAAGGTAATTATTGTTTGCTTTTGTATGATATCGAATAATTTCAATGTAAACATATACTAATTCAGTATGTACTACCGACTGATTTACTTTTCAGTAAAATGTGTAAATTATACAAACATTTCCATGATTTCTAAGAAGAAGAAAAAATAAGTTCTAGAAATATCAATAATAATTATCATTTTAGTGAATACAATAATTGACAAAACAATAGACGAAAAGATGGAAAATTAACGAATATTTGTAATTTTTAGACATTTGACTTGTTCTCAAAACCACAAAACGTGAATGTTTAGAATATGATTTAATAAAACAATTACGTAATCTTTGCACATTGATTCGTGGAACTGCGCATTGTCTATGACCTATTTATAGAACTGTTAACGAATCATGTCACATTATAAAAATAGAAATAATAACTCAAAATCGCTATAAAAGTCACAACAGCTATGAATTTGCAACATTTGTGACATATTAATAAATCCGTATTTCTTTTGTTAAAATACAGATTTATTTTGGCAGATTAAACGTAACCTATTAAAACAACGAAGATTTAATTACAAATAAGAGAAAGAAAAAGAATTACGTACATACAGGAGAGAAGCAAACAGTAAGTCATTAAATCTTATTTTCATGTTACAAAATCAATGTCTTACTGTCTTATATTTAAAAAGAAACTAACAAATCATACAATTTAAGTTTTCAATTTCACACAAGCGAAAAGTAAATATTTAAATAATTTGTTCAAATATTCTTATAATGTTTTGAGAACATTTTGACTCTAGCAGCCATCTTAATGCATTACATAACATTTGATAGATACGCACGATTTTTTGTTGTTGTATTACAGCTTGATTTTAACGAGGAATATAAAAATGAACTAAAAGTCTAGTAATAAATAAAACAAAGTGATTTCACCTTATGTATTGCATATACTTTCATTTAGACTACATAAAACGTCTATTCATTCATTTCGTTTTATTGTTATATAATCGATCCGTGGATTTATATATAGATAAATGTATATTTACTAAAAATTTGTTCAATCCAGTTATGAACGAGTTAATGCACACGATCATTTCTCAGTTTAGATTTTCACCGGTCTATGCATTCAGAACCACACAGAGTTGTTACTCAAATAGTATTTACACTATACTTACAGAAAATTAAATATGGGAAGAGATACAGACAGACTTAAAATCATTAGCATGAATGCTTCTGGAAGAAAAGGACGGCAATATCAGAACTATCGGAAGTCTTATTTGAAGGATGTAATCGGAGACAATAAACCCGATTTATTATTTTTGCCAGGAGACGATCCTGATATGTCGTCCCCAGTACTAAGTGATTATCGTCAAACACAAGTTCATCATAACCACGAGACTGTACTTTTGTACGATACTAAGAGATTGAAATTGAATACACCAGATTGGTACGATATGGTACCATCTATGGTAGTCCCTGGCATACAACAAGGCAAATTAATGTATCCCTTATTCGACATCCTGTCTCCTAAACCTACTCAACACGTCGTCAAGCATTTCCATTGTATTAGTTGGCATTGGGAACTTACTCAAACGACATCAGATGAACTGTATAAGTTTGCCTTCCGTTACTTATGCATGGCGCAATATCTAGGATGGATTTCTGGAGTTGAGATCTTAATAGGAGGCGATTTTAATTTGCCAATTCAACAGATCCAAAAGCTACTAAATGAACATAATACACTCGTCCAAAAACAAGTTGACGATATCAAACCATTTTTCAAGAAAATGGGATATATGGATGAAATGACGGATAACATACATCGTCCAGGACGCCGACTCCGGCAACTTAAACTGCACCAGTGTAAGTCTGTAGCAGGAATAAACAAGGAAACGGACTACTTTGTCGCATCAAAGGAAATGCAGCTATGTAAAACTGAAATGATGACAGCTTCTACACTTCCAGGAAGATGTACAACTCTGACGGTGACCAGGCCAGCTGTACAGAATTACTGTCCTTTGCCAACGAAAACAGAAATGTGTATTCCAGCAAGACCACCAAGACACAACGGTGGCTAAAATGTTTTCCTATTTCTTTTCTTTTTTAAATTACATGTACATAGATTCCAAGTTTTATTCGTGAAGTTTGTCTTTCTCTTTCATCTGATTTCTTTTTATCAGTTTGTATGTATATTTTATTATTCAAAATATAGAAGAAAAAAAAGGAAACAAATCCTAGAAAAAAAATTAAATGTAAAAATTGTAAGTTTATTAAGTAGTATTAGCTTTTCTTCATATAAAGACTGTATTTATATATTATTTTAATTTTTTATATGTTCATGTTGTGATTTCATTTTCATAGCTCTGATGGATTGGTAACGATGACATTATGTTTACACTTTTAAAATTTATATGACTTGATAAAAACTAATATTTTCAGATATATACATATTCTACTACTATTAGGCTGTTTCATTATCTTAATCATCTGTGTAATAGTGTTACAAAAAACTTTATTTAGTTCGATTTCCAAAACGATTTATATGTGGTATTATGTGTACAATATTATTGTCTTGTTTAACCCCGCCGCATTTTTGCGCCTGTCCCAAGTCAGGAGCCTCTAGCCTTTGTCAGTCTTGTATTATTTTTAATTTTAGTTTCTTGTGTACAATTTGGTGTTTAGTATGGCGTTCATTATCACTGAACTAGTATATATATTTGTTTAGGGGCCAGCTGAAGGACGCCTCCGGGTGCGGGATTTTCTCGCTGCATTGAAGACCTGTTGGTGACCTTCTGCTGTTGTCTGTTCTATGGTCGGGTTGTTGTCTCTTTGACACATTCCCCATTTCCATTCTCAATTTTATTCCTTATGAAAATTTTAATATGAAGTTAGTTAAATATGCTAGTAAGATGTTTTGGGGTTTTGAAGACAAATGTATATTTTTTGTTGTATTATTTTCATAAATAAAGTTGTTAATATATCATATTTGTATTACTATTTGGTCAGATCAAGTAGTAGAAGAGACCAATGGGACAATGAAAAACTACAAAAAAAAACAAAAAAACAATAACACGATAAAAACAAAAAACACTACATAGAAAATAAAGAAGAAACAACACGAACCCGACCATAAAAAAGTTGTACTGATGCAATCATTTGCTTGACACAAGTCTATGCAAGCTCTCTTTTTGACACATTTGTCTTTTAGAAAAAAGTTAACTTCATCATAAATACTCATACATACAACACTGAGAGCCAAGTGAACAGTTTATGATCAAAAGGGACATGAAAGAATAACCAAATCTATTCAAAGTCAAATTTGTCTGATGGAGTTGAGACTCTCTTTAGATTACATTTTCGTCTTATAAATAATAGCGCCCAGTAAGGATCAGATTCACCCTCAATGCATATCATTATACAAAAGATTTATTGCTGCCATATTTGCATTTTCCTATGCCTATACGTCCTTTACCTTACTTAAATGTTTGCCGAATTATAAAGTATTTTCAAAGGACAATACAAGAAATGCTCCATGCCAATCAGGTTATGCATTTCCTTGCAGGTTTTCTTTTGTTTGTAGTCCGTATTGCAAGAAATTTATATCAAGTTTATCATGTCTAAAGTCATGAAATTTTTTTTCTCATATATAAAATTGTTGTTCCGTTTTTGTTTTTCCCTCTGGGATATGATTAAGCGATCATTTTGAAAATAAAAAATATATTGATTTCGGAATATTTGTTTCTAATGTCTTAAATAAACGAAATTTAATTTCGGTGTATATTTATATCAATGTATATATAAATCGGATAACTAATAGTTATACCAAACGGTAAGTTGGGTTATATTCAACTTAAACTATTAATCCCAATTCAAAAGGTTATAACTTTACGGTATTTGCATAATTTGACAGGTAAACTTTAATGAATGATGATATGTGCATTTCGCAGGCTCAAATACGTTCAATCCGTATGTTTTCTTTTCGTCGTTTTTTTTGTCATAGTGTTGTCTATTTTTATTGGACTGATGATTTTTTATTACCCACTTGAGATCTTCCCTTTCCCCTTTTTGTCTGTACTCATGTATCTATGTTTCTTGTTTGTACTTTTGTGTGTATTTTCCTCCCGATTGTGATTTTGATACCCCTTGATACACAGTAAGCTCAGTAAAAAGTATTTATTCATTCATCATATAAGTTATCCGTTATTGGTGTAAAAAATATCCATTCATTAAAGAATTGCTCAAACAATTTTTCATATTACATGAAAAAGAAGGAACCTTAACTTATAACTTGGTCTTGTCAATAAAATATAAATCTAAAAATAAACATTACAATGAAATTTGATGAAGTGTGTCATATACGTTTTATCTATGTTGTACAAGTATTTAGGTCAAAAATATATTTTCTACAGTTTTGAGAAACTCAAAACTGAAAGTAGAATTTAAATTTTCAGTAGTTTATACTTAATGTTCACTCAACGTGTATTAAGTTTGCATTTCCAAAATAGAATAAGTCCTTTTCATTCTATTTGCCATAATCAGTTTATTTATAAGCCATATTCAATGTAGGAAGTAGATATACTGTACTGTGTAAGTCTTTAGATCTTTTAATATGAACAACAGATAATTGCGATAATTATTTTTTTTAAGGAAAACAGTTACTCGCTAGACAAGCATAAGTTTATGATTGTCTAGCGAGTAACAGTAGTGGTTCAAGCTTCCGATAAACAACATTGGTTTGAACAGAAATATGGCCATGCAATATTTACCAATGGTTGAAACTTTTCACGCACCAACCCACCAATCATTCTTTTAATTAATCAAATATTCTTTCAATCAATTTAGTAATTATTCAATGAACAAGCTATCCTATATAGATCGGCATAATATAAGTATGAACAAATTAAGTAATATTATTGTTTTTGCAATTTCATGTTTTGTGATTTTTTTCATTTTTATTAATGTTATGTTTTCTTTCAGTTGACAAGCTTACGTCTTTATCGATTTCTTTCTCACTAGGCTTTGGCCCCAGTAAATCTCTTGGTTTGATTTGAGAAAGTCTTTTGTCGCTAAAGGTCTGAATTCAGCATCTATATTTCATTTGAATTACCGATAAATTTATTTTTACATATGCCTTATGGGCCAAAAGAGGAGACACTATTTGGCGCGTAATTGGTCATACATCAAATATATTTCAAGCTATCTCAAATTTTCAGAATAAAATGTTATATATTTGAACTTTGATAAAACATTTGTTATTAGTTCCTCCTGACAGGAACGTCAGAACTGATTTTGCTAATCTTATTTCTGATTATTCAAAAGGAATTAAATAAGCCAAAAAATTTAAATTTTGAATGGTTTAAATTGTTATTTTTCATGCAAAAAGTAAAATAACAAAAATACCGAACTCCACGGAAAATTCAAAACGGAAAATCCCTTATCAAATGGCAAAATCAAAAGCTCAAACACATCAAACGAATGGAAAACAACTGTCATATTCCTGACTTGGTACAGGCATTTCCTTATGTAGAAAATGATGGATTAAACCTAGTTTTATATATATCTAAACCTCTCACTTGTATGACAGTCGCATAAAATTCCATTATATTGACAACAATTGTGAACAGTATTTGCATATCTCAACGATTGTCAAGCTTTAAATCAATGAAAAGTGAAATATTCGAATTACCAAGTACAATGTATACGCAAATAAAGTATTCCGAGTATTTTGTCAAGTAAATTATTATATCTGTCCAAAAGCATTCGTTTTATGTTACTGTAGTTTTCCGATGTTCAAATCTTACAAATCGTTTAACAAGATACAACTCAAAGGTAACAAACAAAAACTAAAATAATCGTATCAAATCCAAAAGGGGAGAGAACGGGTGAGTCGAATCCACACTCTGTCAAACTAACGTTAAACCTTCATTATTCTATTCACATTCTCGTTATTCGTTTGCTGTATCTGGTGCAGCCGTTCATAAACATCAGTCAAGACCAATCAATGATACAAGGTTTATATCACCCACGGTGTTTATTTGTTCTTTAATGTTTTATGTAGTGTTTTGTAGACAGTCTTGTTTTTTCGTTTTTTGTTTTGAACGATTTTATTGGTATCTCTACTAGTTATGCATTTGGAGTCTCCGCTTGGTTAATTCCGCACCCCATCGTATGATTTAGTTTCTAAGTAGCGCATTTTGTCTTCATTAGACTCACCAGTGGCGCTGTAATAAGAATAGAAACAGAAATCAGGAAACGATAATTCTCTTTTTGACATCTAGTTTTTAATGTTTATCATCAAATTCCTCATCCGTTTACTCAAAAGTATTTTTTTGCTCTCACTGTTGGTGTCATTTAACAATTAACTGTTAGGACGTTAAAAAAAAGATGCAAAAGATACAAAAGGGACATTTAAACTCATTAGTCGATTAAACTTATAACGCCATGGCAAAAATAGAAAAAAGACCAAAAGACAGTAATACAAAACACAATATATAAAACTAAAGACTGAGCAACAATTACCCCACCAAAAGCCGGGGGGGTCCCAGGTTCTTCGGAAAGGTAAGCAGATCTTGCCCGACATGTGGCACCCGTCGTGATAACGCAACAAAGAACAAATAGCAAAATCAGTTGGAAAGGGCTTGACTCATCAAAACTTAAATATGAAAAAAAGTTTTGCCTAATATTTTAAATGTGTCGTATTACTAAGACGTACATTGATGAATTCATTCAAATTTATATATTACCGACGCATAAGTTATGGGTCCACAAAAGAACCGAATAATAGAATCAAATGGAACTAAGTGTTCTAAATTTGACCAGCTCATTTAATATTTGAAACAGAATATTTATGTGACCCTGTTTTGCAAGAGGCGGGAGTTAAAGGGAACAAGAACACACACGCGACTTTACAAGTCCGTGACTGAATTTAAGTACCTATGCCTTATTTAAGCAAGGATATTTAGTATTCGTATAGTCATCTGATAAAGTCATGCTGATTGTAATGTGCACAGATTTCTCTGATTTCATAATCTTATTAGGGGCACATTATCTCTGCTTTCAAAATATCTGTTTGAACCCGTCCTGGTTTTTTTACTACAGTATGTCCTTACCGATTTCTTGTTCGTTGTCATGTCTTTTGTGCGGGCGGCACCCGGAGTGAACATATCCTTTATTTTGTATTTAATTGTTTTAAATTTTGCATTTTTTATATGTTGAGGTTGAGCGAATCAGGTAACTGTATTTTATTGCATTGTACTTATTGTTTTGAGGAAGATTAACTTTCTGGTAGTAAGACCCGTCACGGCCAGGCTAGGAAACTGTGTAGGTAAATGCTCACATTTAATCTCTACCGATACAGTGTATTAAATGTCCTCCTTTACACCATAACCCATGGTGGTGCTCCTTATAAAATAGAAAGATAAAGAACATACATACATACGGTTTTTGTAATCAACGCCGTTGTCCTCCATTAGTTATATGTACTGTTGAATTCTTTGATTTGTCGTTTTTGCGTCATGCCGGCTAACAAATTGGACCACGTTATTTTAGTATTATAGATACGGTGGTTTTCAGTCTCTTTTATAGCCAAAATCTTAAGAAATTGGCGTCAATCGGATAAAGAGCTATCGTTTCACAACTGTTATGCATAAAAAATTTACAAAATCGATGCATGAATCTTGATTAACCATTTTTCAATGTTTTAGCGTGAAATACAAAATAAAATCAAAGAAATACATGATTTGATTTAAAAATTTAACGATTACTTCGTTATAAGTCTCAAATCCGAAGAAATGGAAATATATATATATATATATAATATCTCACCATCTTTCGTAGTCAACAATGTTGAAATGATGTTGTAACTCTAAAAAGAACCGTTTTAAATATTTTATAACTGTTTTGTCCTGTAAAATGTTGTCTGGATGTAACCGCTATCATTTAGTCCTTTCATTTAAGTAAGGTGAAATTTGAATCCTCTTCTTA